CTGTACCGCGCTGTTCCAGGGCAGGCGTGATCTCGTAGATCCGAATCACCACAGTTGCCCAATGACATGTTCTTAAATTTTTTATCAACTGTTCGGGTATCCGGTCGGCGACCATGGTGTTCAAAAGTACGTTCGATTGAATGAACTGAGAATCGGTCGTAATAATGTTACAAAATACTACTCAAAGTGGTTCATCCGATTCATACTCTCAAAGCAATATAATTTGAATGGATGGAAAGCGATGCTCACAGACTACTTTAACAGTCCAGGAGTGTCCCCAGGACTATCTTGAATTTAGCCTCAAGACACCCAAGATCTCACCGCCGTTCGCATTGAGTTCATTATAAAAAGCATTCAACAAACCTAAATAATATACTTGATCCTCGTGGACGATTGGGCAAAAAAGCTGGTGATAATGATGACGACCTGCTTTGAATGTCTTTTTCCAATCGGTACAACTTGTTTAGCTATTATGTTTTGCGCCAACTCATACCTCTTTCAATGGAATGTATTGCTAGATTGATTAAAAACACATAGATCAGGTATACATTAGTTTAGCGGACGGGAAAATCGGGCTAAAAATAGCCTAACTCACCAAATGCAGTAGTGAGGATAGGAATCAACGCCTTATCATACTCCTTTGTTTCATCAGAGAACTTCCGGGCTTTCTTGATTACAGAGGAGAAGAAACTGTCTTTTTTCGGAACCGAGTCAGCGGACGATGCATTGCTATCCAATGTGGTCTCCGTGGACAGTTCAGTTCGGAGCAGCTCACCCAGCTTGGATTGTAACTGGATGAGATTCTTTTGCAGCGTTTCACCTTCCGTGTTTTTGTACCAACCTTGGTAATAAGTCAGACAGGACCACAAAACCGTGTGACCAAAGCAAAACAGTCCGAAGCCACGGTAGAACTTTAATCGATTTCCAGCGCGATAGATTTCCACAGCACCAGGAACGGAGGAGAACAGTCTTCTCAAGGAGTTCATTCCAAACTATGACCGACAGAGAGGATATTTTCGGAGAACCGGGTCAATGATTGTTAAATGACCTGTCTTTAAAGTGAAAAAGAATCAGACGGTCACCAAGTTATACAAAGAATAAAACCCCCGGGGTTGCTTAAGCGAGAGAGGAAATAACTATAATCCAGGCAGAAAATAGATCGAAAATACTGCACTCCGACTGAGAAACAGTACTATTCCTAGCAGAGACAAATTATACCTTCGTTACTGCACACGTTTCTAACATCCTTTAGGAACTACTGACTGTCTGATTCATTCGGTGAGAAAGAAACCAGCAACCATGATCCTAAAACTTGCAGTGGCGGACCACATAAAGTCCCAAGTGAATCAAGCGTGGTAGTGAGCCGGGTAACGGCAGAGCCGTCTATCATACCGGTTTTGACACTTCTCTCTAGGGCTCTGAATGTTCAAGTGAAGAAATTCAATCAAGCGCGGACGAACGGTGGAGGTAACTTCAATGAGGACAAATACTAAGTGATTATGTTTGACTGAGCCACCATGATACAAATCTTAAAAACGGTAAACTTTATATCTATGTTACGAAATAACGGAACCTACAATACCTTATTTGCGCTTCTCTCATGATATGAAGACCTAATTTCGAAATCGGAATGAACGCACTGTTTCGAAGCCGTTAACCGTTAGCAAACTGCTACATTGTTTACCGGTATTTACGAAATAAAGCCCGCAAGACACGCACAATTCAGGGAAACATTATCACGATTTCAGATTCAGAACTGCATTTTGCATCGAGTGGGCACTGTTGATTTAAGCTCATAATTTTTTTCAAGTAGCTCACGTTCTTTATGTACCAATCGGGGAAAAGATGTTAAAACTGGTAAACGAGGTAGCGGACTTGAACAGCCAGCGAAGTTCAGGGGTAGTTGAGAAGTGCACACATCCATCCACCGTATGAGCGACGACAAACCAGGGTGGAGGGGGCAGGTTCACTTTCTTCGTTTGATCAAAAGTGGAGTGTGATTTGGTAGGTTGATTGAGACCCAATTCGCCTCCGCACTGACAATTAACTTAACTTTGTTCTGTGTGGACGGCAGAATACCAGTCAGAAATTAGCTTTATCTTATTTGTCATAATAATTCGGTGCTAACGGTCAGCTCATTGTAATACTACTCTGGGGTGTTTTCTCATCTCGTAGACTCGAAGTTCCTAAGAATTTTAAATACGGTATGATATCACAAAACCGATGGGTTGAATATCTTCTGTAGGAGAATGAAAATGATAAATGCAATGCTTAATACTTTCCGTGCAACCTAGAGGACAAATTACCCAGTTGACCTTAAGCGATGCTTTTTATTAGAAATTTCCGCGTGACTAGCTCTAAAGTTCCAATCGCAAAGAACTACTGAGCAATATAGGAAACCATGAGTCCAGGCATGGAGCCCCAGAAACGATAGGACAAATGTGGTTCTGAACCGACACGACAGCAAAGCTACCTACTATCGAAGGTTAGCCGTATAAAAGTCGAGTCCGCCTCCCCCCATCAACAGAAATCAGTGAGTGACTTGAACCACCCTTTAATGTAAGATTAATCAAAACCGCATTTATTCATTCGCTTACCTCGAGCGCTGAATTACCATCTGAACAGCAGTTAAAATGCGGTCTGTTGAGTATCATCACACTGGTCAATGATGGAAAGTTTGCGATCAAAATGCCCAGAAAAAGGAACAAACTATATAGTTTGAGATATCAAAAGCAGATTCTGATGTCTTAAATTTGGAGCTAATAATGGCAGGAANTAGGCGTCACTTATGGGCGCCATATGGAGTGTATCTTTTGTTCTGTAGGTTCCACCTGTCAATTGTCAGCGGAAATATATGGTCAAAGTTCCATCGGTCCTGTTCGGAATACACTTGGCGGAAAGCAAGCTGGACTATTTGTTAGGTTGCTTTCTCAAGGTCTGGCAANTTCACTTTATGTTCCCGTTGAATCTTCGCAAAATAATAACAAACGCGATGTTTACCATAGGGCGTAAAACCCGCAACTAAGATTGCCATTTCCTTAGACCGGACTAAGCGCCCCGCCATAGGATGAGGAAGGCGTAATGTGCAATTTTCAGCAGTGGCACAGTGGCACGATGAAGCTCACAAATTACCGTACTTTTTTTAATTCTTGTCCCCCTTCAGATGTTATACATTAGTGATATTCGAGTTAGTTAATTATCTTCTTATCACAGGGGCTCACTTTCGTTTCAAAAGTGGAACAGTGGAGAGATTATTTAAAAGTTCTGATTTCATACGAATGATCCGAAAAGAAGTCCTAGTTATCATCCCGTAGTTTCATGGGATTTGGGCAACGCGACTGTTTTATTGTTAATTGAGGTTAACTCGTTGAATACATCTGGGGAACTGATGAGATAAAGGATGGGTCCTTCGTCGGTATTGCTTGAATAATATAATCTTCCGCTTCTTACGGTCAATTCGATAGGAGAGAAGATTACCCATCGCTAATAACCAGGTTCATGCGTGAATGGGTGTAACAACGAAGAATTCATTCGAATCGACTGCTAATAAGCAGTTATCTGAGTGGTTGGTCACCCTTCCCTGGCACCTTGAGAAATGTTCCCATAAGACCAAGTGTCTCAAATAGCTTTTGCTGAAGAAGCCCTAATCATTACCTTCCCGTGGCGGTGTTTTCCTACCAAAGTGAAAGGAAGAAAAGCCAATATCCGGATCTATGAACTACTGGCAGTTCACCTGGGTAGCTAGCTGAAACACTGATTGTAAGCCAAACGAGAAAAGGCAGAAGAACAACACATCTACAGCTTCCTGGCTGTGATAGTGGTCACCAGCTCCATTGGGTATCGAGGTGTCTTGGGCACTTTGACCTCGCCCGCTGGGCGTATGATCCGAACAACCAGACACCACTCCACAATGAAATGCAGATTTCACACAACACCTCGCTTCCTTGCGGGCCAGGCTTTGGTTAACCGAAGGCCCTGGTGTGAACTACCTAAAAAGATTCACCTGCTTTGGCCAGGGCAATATGACAGTATTGCGCCCTGGGGTAAATCATGGACCTTTTGCTTTTTATTCAGAGCATTCAACCGTAATTTTTTTGGCGGACAGTCTGAACTCAGACGCGTGTGAAAATAAAATAAAGCTATATGAGTCGTTCACTTCACGTCGAGCATTGTAGAAAAATAAGCGTTTAGACAGAGAAAGTGAGTATTGCCATTGAAACCCACCGACCTAGTGATGCAAACTACCAAGATGCCATTCAAATGCAACTTACCGTCAACCAACACTCGATCAAGAGCCACATGCATGAAGCCGTAGTTTTAAACATGCATATGAAACAGTTATAGCAAACTATGCAGAAGAACTCATTCAACGCCTAGAAAGGCTGTGTGAATTCGAGCGCATCACTGCGAAAACCTCTTACTACCTCGTGGATCGTATTTAGTTAAGGCTAGAGAAGAACTGCAGAACAATTTACCGAACGATGAAGTTGGAGACACTTCTACTTAATTCCCCTGCGACATGATGAAAGTGGTTCTTATAGAATACAGCCGAAATGGAGTAACGCTGAAGGTACTGGAGCTTATGAAAAAATGATCGACTGCCTTGTGTACAGCTTCTCAGTAAGGTCCCAGTACACTAGAGCACCATAACTGCACTTATTGAGCAGAACATTTTTGAAGTTTTGGAGTTCAGTTCAATTCAGTTTTTACAACCAGTAACCAGACAATATCGTGCGACAGTTTAGGTTACTGTCTTTTGGCCGCCAATTTGGAAGGTAGAGAATTCATATAGACTGCGGTTGCAAGAATAATCAGAAGACGCACGAGCGCCACTGTTTGTGACATCCAGCCATATCACTGAGTGTTACCGTGATTTCGGTGTTCCCGTCCAGAAAGTCTAAAGGTACCTAAGTGATCCATTATCCTGGTTACGGTAGAGGTCAGACAGGGTTCAGTCTCCTGGTCCTCCAGGTTGGGGTTTCGACTGAAATTGGTATCTCAGTGGGTAAAAATGATGGAGGAGTAATCGATCCAAGTAAATGGGCCTCCACTCTGGCTTATCCGCTGCCTTGCGGTTAGATACTTATCAGAACTAAAGGCTTTAATTGAGAACCCGCATTGTTCTCTTGCTCAGTGGCTGGACACCAAAGCAGTATCCGTTCATAAGCTCCAATAAATACACAAATAAAAAATAATTTCATACTGTGTCGGTCGTCGATCAGGATAATCAGTACCGCGCTGCCCAGTGAATCGAGCGGAATGGGTAGTAATAAGTGAGCAACTGCTCAGACATCCAAACCTTTGCTTAACTCTTTGTCTTCCGTACCCAACTCACTTCCTTTACCCCTTCTTCCGACCCGCAACATTCCCGCAGACAACTTGGTCGTCACTCGCCAAAGGTCGTTGTCAAATAGCACTGTAAATAGTTTGCATGTAAACAAAGTACATATTTTGAAGCCTCTCAATCAGAGGGCTTTCATCGTGAAGACTCCAATGCCATTAGATCAAAAAATCGATGTCTGATATGTAACGGAGACATGATTTCAGAAACCTAGTAGTATAGGCCATCTGGGTGCGCCGGGTTTGTCATCGAGGTACGTCGTTCGCATATCAGGAGACAATGAAGCCCGCTCTTTGAGTCAGCGAGGTGTAGGAATCGTACTAGCCGTAAAGCCGAGGCCTCACTGATAAACTGGATACCCGTCAACAGTCGTTTGTGCGTAATGGGGCTCCAGGGTTCAGTTAGTGTTTGGAAGAGTAGCCACACCTAAAGGTTCATTATCTCCGCACATGCACCAACCAACTGCAGTCCGAATTCACAAGACGATGAATTTTGCGACAAACTCACCGAATTTATCCGATTGAGCCGTAGCCCTGACATTATAGTGCTAACAGGTGTTTTCAACGCTCAGGTCGAAAAACTAAGCGTATTCGAAGCCTGTTTAGGGGGCGTTTCGTTCTTCCCGCCCAGCAAACACACAACGTT